TGGGTGAGTTGCCATCCTAGTTCATTGCTTTTGTCGGTTCGTGCCGAGCGTGAACGACTAATCATATGGCACTTAAGCACCTAAGTAGTGTAGGGAACCAACCACGTTGCTAAGTCCCCAGGACCAAAAATGATACTACCTAACTTTAGTTGCTTGTGAGTTGTCACCCCGACTACCCAGCCGCGACAAGCGAACACGTCCACCCGAAGCCGCCTCCGATGCTACCTAGATAGATGGTGTATGTGTCTCGGTGAGCCATTACATAAGTACGAACTTTGAAGAAGAACAAAGCTCCCCGCTGGTGGCGTGGGGATAATTCTGATAGGGATAACACAGAGTGCTTTCCAGGTCCATCTTTCATGTCCTGGTAGCCCGACTGCTCTCTCTCTCTCTCTCTCTCTCTCTGCCCGCAGTAAGGCTGCAATATTATGCAAGGTCAGCTACACAGCTGAGTGTCATTGCTCGCTAGACCGAATTATTGACCTTAAATGGAATCACAGCCGGCCAGTTATTTTCCAAATACTGTATACCTAAGACTATCAACAAGGTTCTGCAGCTGGTTTTTCTCATTATCGGAGAAATAAACTAACTTTATGGTGAGCAGAGTTTCAGTTCATGGTCCTATGCATCTCCGTGTTTTATTTAGGGCTTAATTACCCTAGGCTCTATACCTAGAGATACGGCGTTCTGACGTTCTGTATTGGTTTTCAGCAACTCATAACACCTCAAATCCAATACCATGAGAGACGAATTATTGCCTAGATAAGTCTCTATGTATGTATGTATGTATGTATGTATGTATGTATGTATGTATGTATGTATGTATGTATGTATGTATGTATGTATTATAAGATATGCACCATTTGAGACCGGTGCTTCTGAGATCACTACTGTTCCTGTCTAAATAAGATAACCTGATCTGAAAATGAAAAGCTTGTATGCCGGTTTATATAGCTATATAGCCCTTGCTATAGTGCATATGGTACTGAGGAGTACGTTAGTCATAGCATCTCTCCCGGGAGAGATCTGCTTAAGGTACCAATCTGTGTCTTCTACCTACTTTCCAACCTTCTAGCAAAACAAATGACGACTTCCTAGAAGCAGGGTGTAGTGAGGTAGCCTTCCTGACACGACCAGGTTTGCTGAGTTGAACGGGAGAGAAGAGTGACACTCGGCTATAATCCCACGAATACCTCTATTCATACCCTAGAAGAACCGGCAAAGTTAGTTTTCTTCGGCCGTAGACTAGTAGTCTCAGGTAGTAGTTTTTAGTTAGTAGTTATGGGCTTTATCTGAGAATCTAAGTTGCTCGCGACGCCCCTGGTAATAAAGCAATCGTTTTTAATCATGGAGTACACCAAGTCTATTCCTAAGCCGTTTGGCACGGCGGTCGTAACCTTCATTAGAGTGAATCAGATTACCAGATAAGACTCCACCACGAGAAGAGTCCATTCAGCCCGGGGTGTGAACCCTATCGAGTTGTTATGCTCATGTAATCCCAGATGCGAATACCACATCATAGTGATTCAGCAAGACAGACTCAACTTTCAGCCTGGTGTTCTACAAAGTTACTTCAGCATCCAGAGTTATGTCCCCTCTGGCCTAGAACTGTAGGGGAGTTCGCGTTATCCGTAACACTATAAGAACGAAAACTTAGATTTAGGACGTAGCGATGTTTTGGCGGCACGAGTAGACTACTGGATCTGGTGCTTAATCGAGTATCTCGGCGACTCGACTTGCTACCTAGCTAAGATATAAAGCCTTGTCATTAGAACACTGAAGTGACGACGTACCACAGAGGCAAAATTGGCCTCAAATCCTTCAGGACTCAATATCTTGAGCAGCCGGATCTTTCAATCTCAAACTATATCAAGAATATACAACTATTAAATATTCTCAATTATGTATCGCTTACGCTTGCCAACAAGATTGACTGTTAAATGATTTATGTCTCCTTGAAATTGCGAACGGAATCAAGGACGCCTTTCTGTCTCCGTCTGCTAGCCAGACTCCCCTAATAATACAGACTTCACTATTCAGGCAGCGTTCTCTCTCGGTTCGCCTCACACCGGTCTAGGTGAAGGGGCCTTGCGAAATGAAGACTAGGATATTTTTAGAGGGCGACGTGGGCCTAGGAAAGACCTTCGGCCTAACAGGATATCTCTTATGTGGGAGCCCATATATGATGAGACACTGAGGATACCGAGAAGGCTCCTGTCACATAAAATTGAGAAAGGCCCAATACTGTCATATAATAGAAGAGACGTACATCATGTACACTCAGTGTACGCCCAAGAAATAGCTATCGTATTGAGGGGATGTGGTTGATCGGTCGTTCATCCTCGCCATCTAATGACTCTTGCTTAATCGATTCTGTAAGACTCAGCATGTAGTGATTTTAATAAGAGCCGCTGCCCTAGCTAAATTGGTACACGGTTAAGCAAATTTTCTGATTCTTTTACTAATTGACGTATTTAATAGTGACTAAGAACGGTACGTGTGTACACTATGGTACCTGCATAGAGGCGGCGTGGTTTAATAGCTGCGTGGGAAAGACTATAGGTTTAACAGCTTCAAAGTGTTCTCAAACAGGGCTTCGGTTTGTTCGCGGACGACGACTTGACAACACTGTCCTATCGAATCAGGATCGCAAAGGTATATATGTAGAACGGGAATATCTCCCAAAGATCGTCGCACCGCGTGAAGGGCCATTCTGGGTGCCTAGACGGCCGACTCGTTCGTGGTGATTTTGTATAATAACTATTTACTGTGGTCATTACGAGCTAGTCTGCAAATCTAACAGTATAATAGCCGACATCTAATGCTATGAATCCAATATACTCACCAGAAGCTGCCAGTGTCACGCTGCAGCGCCACTTAGATAATATCACGCAAGTTACACCGAGAATGGAACGTATTATGGTTCGTCGCCCTAAAGCTATATCTGGTACAGGAAAATAGTGTTAAGGAGATCTACAATTCCTTCTGTCTTATACGATCCTGTTTTTCCTGCGCGAGATGACGGGTAGGCTCTGGAAGGTATGTACAATGAGGTCGACGAAGGAACGCTATAGAATTATTCGGATGTGAACAAAACTAATCAATCTGTTTCTATAAAGACCCTACTATACGTGCATGATAACCACTCGTCCTTACGGTTAAGCGGGACGGGATTGGGAATAATCAAAAGTCGGCCATTCACCAGCCAGCTGGTCCGTTGAGTTGCATATGGCGGTGTTGATGAACATATCTATTTCCTAATATATATCCCAACCAGTGCATCATTTCTCGCTACATTCATACATTATGGGGATCTGACAAGGCTTAGAGCTGTAGGCTAGTTACATACCGTTGGGTCCTCCTTGTAGTAAGTCTGAATCGGTGCATCACTGCTTACAATATCAAGAGTCCTGTATTACACGATGTATGTGGCATACATCATATGTCGACAGGGCGTATTGCTTTCTTCATTTAAAAGCTTGAAGCATTCTGACCTTTTTGGCTTCGACTTTCGTTTCATTTCCTCATCTCGTTAGAATCGACTCTCTGCTCCAAAATAACCGTAGTAGTCACAAAATTCCGGTCTCACGTAATTTTTTTGCAACCAAGCACTTTTTCGCCTCTCAAGATGCTTCCGAACTATATCCTCTCCACCATGGTCGCGGCGGCATGTGCGCTCTTGGTACCCTCGGTCCCGGGAGGCTAAATCAAGTCAAGAAGTATGCGGATGCAGGCTGCGGCGACGGCGGGCGGACTCAAAAGGGCTTACAACGATGAAGGTGGGCGCTTGCATGTTTACGACACCGGTCATAGTATCAAGGTCACTGGCCGCTCCAGCACTAACTGCCATAGTAAGTAGAGTTTTCACCGATGAACTACGGCTTCGCGTCTCTGATCTCTCCAAAATATGGGTCGGTGAGTCTCCTGCTAATTTGACTGCTATGATGGTGGCGGCCTGCGGGGGCGGCGATTGCATCGGGACGGCACTTGGCGAAGTCGATGACTGCTTTCAGCTGGGAGATCAATGTTCTGGCAAAGTTGCCTATTGGACTGTGAGGTCTGGTATAGCATGTATTTGTTGTGTGGCGAGGCGAGGTGGATGTGCCCATTGCCTGTGCAACGTCCTTGGATAATTTGAGAGTTTATGTCGCAGTAATGATGTTTTGATATCACCTTTGAACAGACCAATAGCATTGAATGTATGCATATATATATGTATATAATGATAGACTGACAATTATCTTGATCGCCTGAATTGTCGTGCCTTAGTTCTCTACAACGTGGTCGTCGCCGTGACTTATTGCATTTGACGGGTAGAAAAGCATATAGAAGTATTCATATGTTTAGGCGAACCTGGACCTGTCGTAATCAAGAGCGAGAAATCCTCTGCAGCTTGTTGGACTTACATAAACCCTCCCAATACAGTCGTCCTGCCGTAGTGTAACACTTGCGTCGGCCACATCTTAGACAGAAGCATGCGCATCTAATTTCGTCGCGATCCCCTTTTCATGTTAGAGTTGGACATCTAGTAACCTAGGCCATGTCGTATGGCCTTGCTAGTTACGCGATATAGGACGAACACGCTTTCAATGCAGTTGGGTTGGAGACTTTCGCGAGAGCCTTTGGTAATGGTAAGCCATAGGAGGAGGAGATCTTAAGGTTGGTTGCCTGTGATTGTCTATATTGCCTACAACTGACTAACTTGCAGCTGATTTCAGGCGCTTCAATTTGATTGCTTGCCTGGAACCCTCGAATTTAATACCTGCATACAAATTACGGGCTCTAGTTGTAGTCATGGTTCACAACAGCGAGGAAAAACGTAAGGTGCCATGATGCTTTGGGTGTTGTGCATTCATCCCTCTGATATAGGGCCTGTACGTATATAGCTATTGTCCACTTAGTTTAACGGTTATGTCACAGCTCGTGACCCAATAAGTTGGCACACAGCTCCCATGTGAGCGACTTGAGGTGCTATAACACACGTGACACTATCTACGTATGGCAAGATGGCCGAGTTGGTTATGGCGTGAGGTTAAGGTCACCTTAGCACAATTTCCTCATGGAGCAATCCGCGTGGGTTCAAGTCCCACTCTTGTCACATCTAATTTCTATTTTGTTTTTTTGTCACTTCTCTAAGTGAGAGGCGATAGGCGTTAGAGTCTGAATAACCTTACTTAGTATGTAGATTAAAAGGAGGCAGGTACCTGCTTTAGTCCGGCTGGATTACTTAAGCACAACTGACGTGCCTACTGTGTACAGCCCTAATTGTCACAATAGTAACGAGCTGATGGATTGGCTCCTGGATCCCAAAAATATGAAACTTCAAAAGTGTACGTGTACTTTCGATATCATTTTGATACATGATTTTTATTCGTGATCCTTTTCTTCTTCTTTGAAGCTGCTCAAGTGATCAGGATAGAAACAGTAGACTGACGCGCTAAAGTGCAAAACATGGAATATGATCTGCCCAATCATTATAAACTACTGAGTAGGTTCTAGCCATAACAACTAATATTGTAAACGTGCAAGTAAGAAAAGTATGTCTGTTTTAGTGCTTGCCTTGTATCATTCGTAAGTCATTTGGTCTCTTTAGATCCAATGCTACTTGTTCTTCTGGTGTTCTTAGTAGATACTTGAGTTTTGTCACTCGTGTAATGCTTATATCTTTGCCATCAGTAGTCTCGCTCATATCTGTAGAACATTCAACGCGCTTTTAGGGACGTTGAATCTCCGGCCCTCATGCAATACTTCGTAGTAAACATCATATGTCTAGGTGTAAACCATCCCTTGCATGGTGTGTTTTCATGCATCAATTGCCCATAGCCGTCAAGCGAGTCACGGATGGGATGAGCAACGCAGTCGTACAGTCAGGTTTATGCCTAAATTGGAGATCTAACTCAAGTAAACCTGCCTTGCGCGCAGCATAGGTACTGCAATGCAACATCTGTGTCGCTCGCCCAGGAGGGAGAAAGGCGTCGATAGATCAATAGCGTCGCGCGAGCCTTCGGCATCACAATACCCGAAGGACATCAACGGTTACTCAGTTGTTTTGTAACCCGAATACATCCACAATGACTCCTTCGCAGAGCTATATGTTCAAAATTGGTTGATCTAGGAGACCATGAGTGTGCGGGCATGTCAATAAGATAAATGGTATAAACATTGCTCCCAAAACCACCCTATTGCTGTATCTCATACACAGTATAGATATCTATACTAAACGATACCAGCAGGCGTTCATCTGGAAAGGGAAAAGGGAAAAAGGAAAAAGGTCATGTTGAATCCAACCGTTGAGACAATCCCGTTTTGGGCCAAGACCGTTTACCCCAAGCCACCAGTTTTTCCCTTTTTGTCTTCGATCCCCAATCGCCTTGGCAACTTTGCTCATCGATGGTTGCATTGTGTCTAGAGGCGCCTGTGGGTAGTCGGATCAGCATTGTACAGTAACAAAGTAGCCCGACTATATTTAGACGCAATGCATACCTACCTAGGTAAGCTAATGTTGCGCATGGTACAGGTACTGCTGCTGCACGGGTGTTAAGGTTAAAGGTACGATTGGCTTTGTAAATACGAATCTCGAACAGTGGGAGGTATCGCCTCTAGAACATTTACGGCGCCAATACGTGCATGCGTTCTATAATCGTAGCATAAACTAACTAACTAACTACCTGGTCTTGAGTTTATTGTAGCAAGTCTTTCAAGGGCAAGAAGCTTGACCACTCTCGTGAGGGATATTTGGTGCCGCAGCCCGAACCCCTGTTAGCAATCTGCTGGAGTGTACCGCTTGGTGTAGGTACTTATGAGAAAGTATCTTGGAACAGGCACCGTACTTCTCAATTATCCGTTAGAAGGGCTCTAATTTGAAGGAATCCGAGTGTCATGTGCACGATTAACAATAATTAGCGCCCCAAGAAAAAGAGTATATAATATATAATATATAATATATAATGAGAAGAATTGCGGGCGGTATATAGGGCTTAATAAGGTTCTATCTAGATTGGCTACTACACCTAGCAGAGGGTATATCTTGGGGACTTATTACACTGAGGGAGAGCACAGTGTATGGAGGACGCCTCGCAGTGGGGTGCAAGATCCTGTTTCTACCCACCACCATCGCTTCAGGCCCTAGCAATACGGAAGGAAGTGAGTGACTTATGTGAAATACTAGGTATGTAAGGAGGATGAATTGACGACTATGCCTACATATTTAGTGTCCAGCTACCTTGGTAGCACCCCGGACTCGACTAAAACATCCACACTCGGGTATAACGTTACTGGCCTATACTTGTAGGTAGTGCCCAGTGATCTACATACCTATACCCGACCCGTGGACCCGACATGGATATGTGGGTACCACAGGTATTCAGCACTGTTCAAAAGCTCGGTATACCTCTCTCCTGGTTCGTTTAGGGTTCCAACGTATGTTGTAGTGTAAGTGGTGGAAGCACCCAACATCTGTAGGTGGTCGGCAGTCTGAGCTCAAGCATCGAGTTGTCCTGATCAAGCCGCATGCATCCGATCCCCGACCAAAAGCAACATATGGACGGGCGTGGTATTACTAGTCTAGGTACCAACCCACCGGATAGTTTGGAGCACCGTCTGAGTGTGCTTCAACCGTCCCAGAAACGCTTGCGTGGTGGGTATGCCGCATTGGCGAATAGCAGCCGTTCTAGGTGCCGTCTGTACAGCTGTACTGCATTAGTACTATCGAGGAGGACCGGTACCTGCTATACCATACGGTAGAGGGTGAGCATCTTTTTAAATACACGTCAACGCACGCCAATACTACGCTCCGATATCTACTTATTGATAGGTATCTGCCACGGCAGCTTCTCCCTCACCCAGTCCAGCGCTCCGCACTTCGATAATAATCTCTGAACGCTATCTTGACTTGACTGCTGGGTCTCGTCTTCTTTCGCTTCCCTCTACACCGACCGCGGTTATTCTCCCAAGGGTCTCATCTGCTTCTCGTCGTCGTCGTCACGTCGGACGGGCTGCCGTCTGCCTGTTTTTTTTAACAAACAATATCTACCCCGACATCAGATCAGGTCTAGAACTTCCCGGCCTCTTCTCTGTCCTGAGTGGTTACCGACAGCTGCGAATGTGATCTTGAGCCCGCTGGTGTTGCTGCACTGGGCCGAGAGACTTAAGAGGACCCGCTGTGACGCGCTTAGAAGCCCGTATTCAGGGCCTCACTCACTTACTCGCTATAACGACGTCGGCAGTGCACTCAGCCGCCGTCCCAGGTCTCTTCCCACTCATATCCTAACGTTACACCACCTTGTCTTGCTTGACGATTTGTGAGACTCGTCCAACTTCCTCTACCTCCCCGACGGTGAGGTGAGAGTGGGGCTTGTGTCATACATCACTCGGTTAATCAGAGACATCTCGTTCGCTCGTTTTGGCCGGCATTTTGTGAACGACAGACTACCCCAGTCGGGTGCGACGGACAGCACTCTCGGGATCTACCGCGCCATCAGAACCTTTCGGCAAAATCCTGTTGGTTCGTCCGACGAGGAAGGCCACCGGTACCTTGTACTGTACAATAGGGGCAGCTATATATGAACTCTAGCCATTGACGTGTGGTCTAGATTCCCGTCTTGATGTGCATTGATTTGGCGTACACTTGCAGCAAAGCTGGCGCATTATTCTCATGGAGCAGACATTTATGACCATCCACAGTAAGTACTCTACACAGACTGTCGTCTCTGGCGAGCTAAACGCTACCCGGCAAAGCCCTTATCTGCTTGAACCATCACAACCTGCGTGCCGGGAGCTTACATCTAGCAGACCTGTCCCATGACGCCAACGTTCTTTTCGCATCAGAGTCGGTAGTTGATATCTTGGGGTACCAGCCCCAAGAAATTCAAGGGAAATCTTGTTTCGACTATTTTCACCCTGATGAAATCCCCTTTGCCCGGTCGGTTCATAATAGAGGCGTCCTGTTGGATAAAGCAGCGGTCTTGCACTATGCCCGCATATTGTCTAAAGATGGCCGGTTTGTAAGTTGCGAGTGCTGCTTTACGATTGTCCACGATGTCTTGGTGGCATGCACAAGCATATATCGCCGGGGCAAGAGAAGCGAGAGTGCGTTATGAGATTATTTTGCATCTATCGTCACCTTTGCGCCCCGCTAACTCGCTGTTAGGACGAGCCATTGAGGCGCCCCATATACGAAGGATATTCTCTAGTTCGCCAAGGGATCCTCGATATCATATGCTGGAACACCTGTCGCCCAAATTTAGAATGCAGCCAACGGAGCGCGAGCCCCGCGCGGCCTTAATTCTAAACAGATTTACCCGAACGTTAACTATCATGTTTGCAACGAATGCCGTAGCCTCAATACTTGGCGTCGGACCAGATGAACTGCAGGGGAAAAGTCTTTATGAATGTATCGCTGAGAACTGCTGGGGCGACGCTATCAAATGCCTCGAAAATGCCAAGGCGAACGATTCCATTGCTTATCTTCGTTTCTGGTCCCGAGACCCGCGAGTGGAAGAAAATTTCGAAGGAGATGAAGGCGACTTGGAAATGGAGGATTTGGAAGATGAGATATCGGAAAACGACTCCGACGGTGGTGTGCGCCTAAACGATAGCGTAGACGTGTCAATGGATGATAAGCTAAACAGCTTCACCAAGAGAGGAGCCGATCACAGCCCGCGGATAAACCAGCCCATGCCCGTGGGTAAGCCGAGTGCTCATGGGTCCTCTGCTGCACTTGCGAGCCGATCAAGAACGGCAAGGACTCAGGGTGCTCAAGGACCAAGAGTACATCGAGAACTACAAGCTCGCCGTCGCGAATTGATACCGACACGTGAACTCGAGGCCGTCGTTTCTTGCACCTCCGATGGGTTAGTTATGGTGCTTAGGAAGGCGCGGCCACCGATACCATCTCTTCACCTACCAATGCTTCCCACAGACTTTGAAAACAGCTTGCTTGCTGGTCCCTGGAATGAGCACCCGATTCGTGCCGACTATCCCACGAATTTATTACACACTTTCAACCACATCTTCTGCTCTAATACGCATCTACACGAGAGCATGTCAAACCAACGAGGGGGCCGCCGGGTGGCCAACTAATACGACCAAGCAGGGATA